ATTAATTCACTTATTTATTATTTATTTATTTTATTCAATAATTTGATTTCATCAAGCAAGTGCTTCATAACAATCACCGTAATTTTCAAGAAGTGGTTGGTCATTGTCGGCTTCACATGGAAGTCCGTTCGGGGACAAAATGCTTCTACTTCAATGAGTTTAGAGTAACGTGCTCAACAAGCTGAAGTATAAGAATAATTGACTCCGTGTTTGTTAAACAAAGGTGTGGAAAGCATGGCATTGAGATTAGACCACTCCCGAGTATCAAGCTCAATCTCGACAAGCATCTCAAAACAATATGTCGGAGACAGTGGTATCGATACTAACCTATCCAAGCATACTCGAAGGGTTCATCTCTTTAATCAAGCATGTTGAGCGTTTGGTAAATACTTTATCATCAATTATGTTATAAATTAATTTTTTCATTTATTTGATCTCATATTATTTTATTTATTTATTCAGCATCATAAATTGGATTGTAATCAAAATCCTTATGAGTCGTTCGTGACAACTCACAAGCAAAAAGATAGGACATTCATCGACAAACGATCGCAAACAATAATTGTAAGGTTTTATATATTTTTTAAAATATATATATATATATATATATATATATATATATATATATATATATATATATAATTTAATATTGTTATTATTTCAATAACTTAGGAGCATATGCAATCAATGCAAGAATCGACTGCTAAAGAATGGTAGGAGGGTGATGCATCATTTCAAGATATCGACATGTCCAAAATACATTTAAATACCGTCGAAGGGAAGAAGAAGTAGAGAGTGTACGGCATCAAAACTTATGCGTCTTAATGTTACTTTTATTCTCACATCATCTCCTCCTTTGCCACTTCATGGTATCCTTGTGATAATATCCAAGAGGTTTCGCCCAAGTACAAAAATTGGATCAAGGGGATGGAGGCTAGTAAAGTTGACAACATTCAAACTCAATTGAAGAGAGTTATGGGGTTATTAGAAAACCTTCGGTTGCCTTATATCCCTCCCGCCGACCCTCCCACAACCCAATATTCATTCGTTTCTCTCAACGACCAGCAGTTCGGAAGATGATCCAAGAGATTGTGATAATGAGGACTAAATTTCTGATTTTTAAATTTTTTTTAATATTTTGTACATCTTAACATATTTATATATTTATTTTAATTTATTTTATATAATTTTAATTTTATTTAATAATATAGTGTATTTTAATAAGATGTTGTTTATAGTTGTTTATTATTACAATTACCAATAAACGGCAATTCATGAAAGAAAAAAATAGCGATGGATTTAGTGACATAATAGAAATGATAATTAGTAACGGATGAATACTCAATCGTTAAATAACGACGAAAATAAAGATGGAATTATGAGGATACAAGCGACGTAACAATCCATTGTTATTTAGCAATGAAAATAAGTGAAAATAGTTATGGTTATCAACGGATACGACGATCGCTTTAGAACCATTTAGCAACAGAATATCAAGAAAATAGTAACGGAAAATCCGTCACTAAATAGTTATGGGGAAAAAAATTTGTTGCTAAAAAAATTGTGACCATCACTTTAGCGACGGATTGGATTTTGTTTCTAATCCTTTGCTAAAGTCTCTAATTTAGCGATGGAAAAATTCGTTTCTATTTCTCAAAATTTTTGTAGTGCAAAATAAAATTTAAAACTTTTTATCATCTAATTTTTAAGATAAATAAAAATAAAATTAAAAAAAATAAGTTTATCGACTATAATGGTTATAAAAATGATAAATGTAATCGCGGTTGTGGTCATTGTCACGATCATGATAGTAATAGTAGTTTAGTAATAGAAATAATATATTTTAAAAAAAATATGCTACCATCCTAGAAAGTAGTAATGGAAAAAAGTAATAATAAAAATGATATAATAATAGTGGTTGTGGTTGCAAAATAATAATAATAATAAATTATTATTTTTTTAATCACCATTACCAATGAAGTGGTGGTGCAAATGGTAGAGATGATAATGATAATAGAAATAGTTGATATGTAATAAATAAAAATAATATATTATTATTTTGAAGAAAAACATTATTCTCATTTTTTATTTTTATTTCCTCATTTCCTCATTTAGATGAAATTGTGTTAATTTTTATTTTCATTCTCATTTTCTTTTTATTTTTTTCAATAACACTTATAAAGTAGAAATTAAACTTTTATTTTTATTTTCATAATTCTACTTCTTATTAACAAACAATACTTTTTTTTTTTTTTACATGTTATTGATGATAATATGAATGTACAATTATATATCCCCGCATGTCCATAAGTTCGTAAGCTAGAGCCATCGTGCATGGGTTTTTCAATTTTATTCTATATTTATATATACTTCACAGTACGTACTTCAGACCAGAGAGGGTTATTTTAGAAATACAAAATATATTCTACTCGCGTAAGGCTTTGCATTATTTTTAATCCGGAAAATAATCATTTTATGTCCTTATATTTTCAACTTTTAATTATATTGGACCCTTTATTTTATTTTGGACCATACCAATCTTTTTATTCAAATATTTTAGACGTTTTGACCTTCCATTCACTTTCATCAAGGAACTCTGTTAGTTTGACTAAATTCAGATGTACAAATATAGATGTAAAAATATAGCGTTGTTAAAAATCATCATATACCTCTTTACTACACAAATTTGATCAAATTAAGCAAATTAAATCTTCTACAATAAATTATGATTAACTAATAAAATAAAGCATAAAATAAACGATTTAACGATGATTAGGTTAGGTTAACTAGTAAAACAAAGCATAAAAAAATATTAAACCTGACCTAATATTTTTGGGTAAAATGAATGGTTGTCATATGTGTATCGCTTTCGAGTTTTGGGAGACAGTTGACAGGCCTCGGTCCATTTGAAATGTGGGCTACTTTCGACCCATTTTAATATCGGGCTTCATTAATGATAACAGATATCTGCAGACATTGGAGTGCATGTGGACTTGATAGAAAATAACATAGAGTCTATTTTTAAATGTTTTGTTGAAATGTAATCGTTAAAAAATGTAATTTTTGTATTTGATTGAAAAAAATAATAATAATATATTACTATTTTATTTGGTTTATTATTATAAATTCGTTAAGAATGCAAGTAAATTTATCATTTTATCCTCAAAAAATAAAGCATTTAATTTGAACATACAATATTTGTCTTTTTTAAAAATATTAAGACGTGTATTATTTATGTTTTAAACTAAAAATAAAATAAAATAAATTTACCTTTATGAAATTATAACTGCCAAAAAAATAATATATTTACTAACAAAATTACATAACGTGCGTATTATAATAATTGTTTTGGCATTAGATTAAAAAGATAGAAATATATATATATATAAAGTGTTCAAATTCATTTCCTAACAAATCCATACAGATGAATTATCTAAGTATTTCTGTTATTATTAGTAAAAATAAGGATGTGTTGGTCAATTTATTATAAAATAAAGGGGTATTTAAGTCTAAAAAATTATTAATTGTTTTGGCATCTGAAATTCCCATCACTTTAGAAGGGAATCGCATTTTCAGTTTTATTAATAATTAGTGTTTTAGAATTGCGATTTTCAAGAATCCGAGATTTTTGACTTACCAAACACAAAAATGCTTGGCATTTCGAATTGTGTATTCCAATTAATCTTGAACATGCTCATACTAAACACCCCATGAAAACCAAACCAAAACAAAGATCTATATTACATGGTAGTATCAAATCAACTAATGTCAAAATTAGAAAAGGAAATCATCCAACAAAAAAATAAAAAGTTCATTACAATTCTTAAGATTATACTTTACTGGCATAATAACTTTTGACTATTGTAACAATTTAATTTTTCTTTATAAAATTTGATTTTTTTCCCCTAAAGTCTCAACGGGTTAGTATGATAGTTAAGAATGACAATATACCGAATATAAAATGAATATCCGTTTTATCCGACTTAATAAATACTCATTAAAAATATCTAATAGATATTGAAATCGATTACGATAAAAATATATATACCTATTAATATGATTTCACCATATAGGTATCTCCTTTTTACCCTATTAATATTCATTAATTTATTTAAAAAAATTTTAACTAACATATAAAGATCTAATTGTATAAAATTTAAAAATTAAGGACCAAAATATTTTTAAAAAAATTAAGGATTAAAAACTTATAAATAAATGACTAAAATGCAAATGAATAATAATAATAATAATAAATTTTAAGAACTAAAAAAAATTTCTTGAAAATTATAAGGATTAAAATGAATATTTTTCACAAATTAATTTTAATAAGTACTAAATAAGCGGATAAATTAATATGATTTAAGTATGTATTAGGTATAGATTTATATGAAAATTTTTTAATGAATCATAGACGATGTATTTTTTTATAAATCGGGTGTAAAAACTAAATTAATGGACATGATATCAGTCCATTACCGTCTCTTATGATAGTTGAGGAATTTTTTTTTTTTTTTTTTTTTTTTTTTTTTTGGTTTTAAACTTTCAAACTAATATTTAAGAGAATTTATTAAGTTGTTTTGAATTTATTAAATTGTTTTAACATAAAAATTATGTCATTAAGATCATTAGGAAAAAAAAACTAATCTCGCGTAAGCTTAAAAAAATCACTTAAAATTTTGTAAATTAAAAGAAAAAAATTGACATCATCAAGAAGAAATTAATGACACGTACAAGCTAAAACCAACCAGATAGGTTCAGTTGGCAAAGCTTAAATAAATGTTGGATGCTTGTTGGCTAAGAAAATGCTTACACTTCTGACATCTACCAGTCTTTTTCTATCTACAGGTCCACAAATGAAATCTAGAGACTTCTTTCTTAACGCAATTAGCATCCAGTCTACATAAATATGTCCAGTTCTTGATGTCATTCTGCCTCAAACACTGTTGTTTTAATTATCAAGAAAATCATATGTTTTGTTGTGAGTAAAGCTTTTAAAAAAAATGCCATTCCACAGACGCTATCCTCCACCTCCACCACCAGATCCTTTTGCACCACCACCACCTCCTCCACCTCGACCCTTTGATGCTCCACCACCACCACCTAACTATTACCACCCCCATCCACCTCCAGACCCTTTTGCACCACCACCTCCTCCTCCTAGACGTTTTGATCCTCCACCTCCAGACCCGTTTGCACCACCGCCACCTCCGCCTAGACGTTTTGATCCTCCACCCCCACCACCACCCCATCATCCGCCTCCACCTCCTGGACCCCCCGGTCCTCCCCCACCACCATTTTTTGATCCCTACAGGCCATATCCTCCTCCTTACTAGCAATTACTAACAATATTCTAGCTCGCAAACATTGATTTTATAACCTTCAGTACTCTTTATCTTACCTATGTGCAAGATGGATGGGTATCATCTTGGATCCTGGATCATGATGTGCAAGAAGTTTTTTGCTACACGAGGTAAAAGAACAGGAAGGCCATCCCTCTGCTATTCATGGATCAAGAAAGAGGGGTGTGTATAACATATATATGCAATAATTTTTTCAAGTGTGCTTTTTATTATTGATATTATGATTAAAAAAGTTGTTTTTTTTTTATTAGTATTATTAGATAGAGGAATATATGACAATTTGGTCAATCCTGATGTATTTTGTCATTCAATAATTTTTTCAAGTGTGCTTGCTATTAGTTATATTATGATTAAAAAAGTCGTTTTTATTTTTTTTAATTATTAGATTGAGTAATATATGATAATTTGGTTAATCCTGATGTATTTTGTCATTAAAAATTTCAACTAATTTGTTGTTTTTCTTTTTTATTCTTACAAAAAAAATTAATGATCTGTCCACTGACACAACAAGGTTTAATGGTGGCCGGTTCAAACAAGATAGCTTGTTAGAAAAATCAGTGGTTTGAGAGGAGAATCAGTGAACATAAAATGCATATATATATGTATGGTAAATAGAAGATAAAAATATAACAACAATAATTTTATTACATCGGCAACGAGTCTGACATAGTAACACTGGAATTTTCGACCTGTTAAAAGCAGAGTATGAACTTTTTAGCTGCAAATTATCTTCTTGCTGTCAGGAAAATAAACAACGAGGGCAGAAAATTTTCAGCAACATAGTTTTGGTACCAGAAATGGAGCAGAATCGAATTTCTGCAGACGCTACCACGGGTAAAATGGCCTTTTTATAGCACGCACATAACAGCGACACTGAAGCATGGCAATATCATGACAATGCAAGAAAATAAATTGCTAACGAAATTTCTGAGTCTCTTTTAGAGCAATCTGAAATTATTGTTTTATCTCGTAGATTTTTTCATCCAAGTTGGTCTGAATTTGGTATGCATGCTATTTATGCCTTTTGTATGCAGCCAGAACGTTATGGCGTACTTGGATCGAGTTGAATTATCTCCAGTTCTAGTGGTGAGAAAAGAAATGCGGATAATGAAGCAGAAAAAATATTTTTTGCAAACTTATCTCCAGTTCTCCAGGAATAGGACTGTTTTTACAAACTTATCATTAAGCCTGATGGTTCAGTTAGGTTTTCTTCTTTGATCAAGGCAATTCATTATCGCTCGAATATGTCCCCTCAAAGATCCTCTTCCTTGCCTCGGATGCCTGCAAATATTCTCATACAGAAACAGAATTAGCTATCATGCTTAAACAACGTCATTAACATGGTGTAGTAGGAGCAGCCAACTTCCATTAATTTGCACGAAAGAAGAAGCAAAATCCAGACAAGCATTAGTATTGTGCAAAAACACAGTCAAAATAAAGTAATAGGAGCAGAAATAAAAACCTAGAAGAAAGGTTGATGCAAGAACCTGTTTTTTCCAATTCATCGATATAGTTATGACAGCATATGATGTTGCCTGTACAGTTGTCCCAGATAGTACCCCAATCCAGAGGCCTTTCCCTCTAAGATTCGCAACGAAGCACAGCAGAACAGCTACTGGAGCTGCAACTAAATCATATGCCGCCAGGTTGACAAAGGCACCGATGTGTTGCCACCCACATCCTCTAACAATCCCTGCCTCCAACAAGGTACTAGCATTAAGGCTAACCAAAATAGATGGCAAGGGTCTATATGCGTGGTAATATTAGTTGAATTTGAAATGGTGGGAAACAGACCAGAAAGTGTTGTTTGTAAGCCATCCATGATAATTGAGAGACAAAGCAGGGGAGCCATTTCAGCAACATAGGCCACAACCCCTTTGTCATTGCTAAAAGCAAATCCAAAAAAGTAGCGGCAGAAGAAGAGAGTTATGCTCACTATAACTGCCTCTGTAACAGAAATGATCAGTACTGCATAGACAACCCCTCGAGCTGTCTGTGGATTTCCAGCTCCTAACTCATTCGAAACCCGAGTACTGCAGAAATGTTGATGCATTATTGGAATGTCAGTAGATATATTATAACAAAAAGATGTTTTCTTATCCATGCGCATGTCTATAACATATAAATCCAACCTTCCAGCAGCAGAAATTCCATATTGTACAAAGTAGAGCAATGACACGGTTGTCAGGCTGATTACAAAAAGATGGAAGATCATCAGAAGCATTCCCCGTTGAACATCCTAATCTACTACCATTATAAAGTATTGGTAAAGGAGAATACCAAACGGAAAGAACAGATGTTTCAAGCTTCGAATCCGGCAGAAGCCCAGCCAGCAACAGAAGTATCTCAAAGGTCCACCACTCAAGGCTGAGCATGAAAGGAAAATATATAGCTAGATGAATTAATTAAGAATTCAAAGAAGACAAGACAGAAGCTCAGAAACACCAAGTTCTTGTTGATGAGAAATTACCAAACCATTGCAGCAGAAGGGAAAGCAATGCGTAGGAACTCCTTTATGCTTGAGAAAACATCATCCCAGTAGAGGCCACGGGTTTTCTCACACGACGAAGAGAACCTCATGTAAAGTGCAAGGGAGAGCACATTTAACCAATTGGACAAACCAATGGCTAATGCTGCTCCCTTGTATCTTAATTCCCACTTATATACTAGAGCCCAGCAAAGAGGGATATGGAGACATAGAGTTGCACAGTTGCTTAAAAGCATAGGGAGAGTCATGCTTTGACACTGGAAGTAGCGAAACATAGGACCACTAACAGCATTGGCAAATAATGCAGGAATGAGACAAATGACATAATTGCAGGCTACGATTGAGATATCAGAGTCTATTCCTATTGCCATTAGTATCCTGTCCATGAATATCCAAAGAATAGATATAGGGATACAGATTGGAATGAGTGATATTATTGCACAGTATGTATAGCTTCCGAACTTTTTAAATTGCTCAGCTCCATATGCTTGGCCGCAGAGAGTTTCCAAACCTCCAGCTAATCCAACCTGCTTGTTATATAGAGAACCATCAATTAAGTATTATGTAGGCAAGCTTGAACATTAATTCTGAAACCCAACAATATATAGTGGCCATGAAGCAAGGTAGGCAGGGGAATTAATCAATTTAATGATTAAGGATGGCTTAGTTTATGTCCCATGAGGACTGAATTCTGTTTTAGTCCATATTCTGGTTGCTTTGAATAAGCTAATTAAATACACTCAGCCTCATAATCATAATTTTGCTAATTAAAACGTTCATCCAAAGAAAAAGTTGAAAGCAAAAGATTACATCGTGATATGTTGAAAGTGAAATAAAATGATTACAAGCTTTTAGATCATACTGTTCACATACTAAACTGACTTTCTAATCTCTAAATAGGTGCGTCATGCATGTTAGGAAAGAGAGAAGAGAAGACTTTACTATGAGACTGAAGCCAGTGACATTTGTGAAAGAAGTGGCGATGGAGACCCCGGAGAGTGACAAGGCACTAAGGTGCCCTGCCATCATCAATGATACAACCTGAAATAGGTACAGTGTCGTCGCCACCAACATCAGCGGAGCTGCCAAGCAACTCACCTTTTTTAGCTCTTCCACGACGGCACCCCATGTTAGTAAAGATGCTCTCTTCTCAGGCTTCAGCAGTGGTGCCTGGTCCATCCTTTTCCGTTTATGTTTCCCTAAGGGATCGATTCCTGCACTAGTCCTAATTGAAAGTCTCTCCCATGGCTTATTAATTAATACTAATATTAATAAATATCCTAAAACAAAATAGACTTTTGCCGTGTCTAAGTCGCTATTTTGGCTTGTAGTGTTTTTTATTTTTTATTTTTTTATTCCTTATTTTGTAATCTTTCTTTCATTTTACCTTTTTATTATATTTGATATTTATCTCAATAAAAAACTTTATTTTCTTTTACAGAAACTTTCCGTCTGTTTTGATTCTTATTTTATGATTTTTTTATTTTAATTATTGAATTTTTATCATATTTAATTTTTATTATTATTATATTAAAACTAAATATAATTTTACTGTTTTAAGATTTTTTTTTAATTTTTAATGAAAATTTTCTTTCTATTTTGATTCATGTTTTGTACTTTTTTATCATTAAAAATTTTATCATATTTATTTATTTATTTATCTTATGCATAATAGATTTTTTTAATCTTATTGCTGATAAGTTCTTTTTAGCTTTTAGCTAAAGTTTTTTTTTATTCTTATTTTATAATTTTTACTTTGTTTTTGATCATTTAAGTTTTATAAAGTATAATTTTTATTCTTATTTTTTGACAAATGGATTTTAAAATATTTCATTTTCATCTCGATTTGATTAAAAAAATGTCATTATGTTTTGACTAATCTCTCTCTATCTCAATAACAAATTACGGATAAGTAATATATGATAAAAATTAATCACCTAAAATTTTAAAAATTATTAAATAATTATTTTAATTATTAATTGTGATACATATTTTTAAAAAACTCATATTTGTATCAAAAATATATAATTAGTAATATTATATTATTTAATTTTATAAATTTATTTTTTAACTAATCCTATGACAATGCACAAAATATATACGTTGTTTTGTCTATTCTCTGAATTTTTTTCGTACGATTCTTTTTAATAATTGTTTTAAATTTTATATTTTATATACACAAAAATGTTGTGTGGATCACTCCCTGACAACGCCTGATATATATATAAAGTTGTTTTTTTTTTTCTTTTCTTTTTGATGGAGCTATTCCACACTTATTGCTTTGGTCTGAAGAATAATTATTTATGCTTGAACCCCGTGATTCGTGAATCGCTTGGTTAATAAACAAATAGTGTGGATTTTTCATAAAATTATGGTCTAATGGAGACAGAAATATAAAGAACCTTTTTTTTTTAATTTTAAAATTAATTACTTAGTTTTAACAGTGTTGATAACGAATAATTTCATTTTTTTCTTATAAATTTTTTCTTTTTTTCATTAATATTAATATTTTATTTCTTAAAATAAAAAATCAAAATGAGAGAAACTAGTTTATAATTTAATCTTTTTAGATATGACTTTCTAAGAAATAAAAAAATAAACCAATAAATTTCACATTTTATTTTTAAAATATTTGAAAAAAGAAGAAGAAAAGATTGAAAATGATGTCAAACATTTTATTAATAAAATCTCTTGACATCATTTATATTAATTTAATACTATGTTCCAAAAATGTTCAAAATATTTTCAACAAAAACCAAGCATCCTTCGAACCAAATCTAGTACTTCGGCAACTTCGGTGAAGGATCTCGGGGTTGATCAAGTCATAATGTTTAAAAAAAAAATACTAATTTATAATTTACTCTATCTAGAAACCGGTTTTCAAAACATTCTGAGGAAAAAATAGTGGTTTTCAAACTAATTCTGCTCCATAAGAGCTGATGACAGCATTCATCATTACCATTCAGGTTTGACAGCATAGAGACTGGACGTGGCTAAGTTTTACTGCATAGAAATCGGACGTGGCAAAGGTCGCTTTCTTCATATCTTGGCCCTTGGATCAAGTCGGATTCGATATAATTTAATTGCCCAAAAGTTGAATGTGGTTCAGATACGTGGTTGCTAATAATCATGTCAGTCCGGATCAAGGCTAAAAGAGTAAAATCGTCTTTGAACTTTATTTCAGGAGAAATCCATCTCTAGACTTTTCTTTCTCAATTTTATTTTTTAAAAAATTTAATTCATCTTATAATTTTCAATTATCATTCATTCTGTTTTAAAAAAATTTAATTCTTAGTATTTTGATATGAATTTTTGTACACAGATTAAAAAGAATCCAATCTATTTTCTGAAAAAAAAATCCTAGAATAGATTTTTTTTTCTAAATTAGAAAGTATATTTGTTTATTTTTTAATATTAAAAATATAAAAAATATAAAATAAATAAAAATAACTTGGAATGTTCTTAAATTTTTTTTAGAGAACTCGAGATAAATCTTATTGAATGATTTTTATAATAGAACTATTTTTGTGATTTTTTTTTTTACTAAATGACAAAAAAATAAAAAAAATCTCAAAAAAAAAAATTCAAAATGATTAAACCTAAAATTAAAAGTTGAGAAGCTAATTGTTAGTGCTACTTAGTGGTTGGTTGAGTTCGATTATCAGGTGCTTGAGAGTCAAATTGGGATATTGTTTAGAATGCTTGGTAGTCAAGTTTAGGTTTAAAATGCCCTAGAATTTGGTCAAGTTTGTAGGAATGTCTGCATAAGATCATTGGTCCTTAGAGCTCGAGTGGTGCTTGGTCCAAACCACCTAATGTTAAGTCAAGACTAGGTTTGAAATGAGTTGGTTGACTTTGTTATCACATTAGGTCTAGTTATAATTTTAAGTTCGAGCTGATTTCTTCATTTGAATGTGGATATGACAAATTTTCAAGTTGAGACTATTTGCATTTTTTGTTGAAGACCATAATTGAGTGATCCTAACTCGTAACCTCAACTCTTGATTCAGCCTGCCATGACTAATGAAAAATAGTCACATGTTAAACTAAGATCTCGTTATTTAATAATTTTAAAATTGTTTTATTTTAAATAAAATAATATTTTTACTTGATTAGCTAATTTATTTTAAAGCTTTTTGCTGATATTTGGATATTTTATTTTTTGATTACAATACTATTAATTATGATGACGTGGTGAGTTTGCTTATGAATGCATAACACTATCACACGTAGACTCTAACAGAGAGAATTAATCAAAACAATTCAAATAATATAAAGTTTTGATCAAAATAATTCAAAAATTATATAAATTAATTTATTTTTATTTTTTACTTTTCAACTTATTGTGCTTTTAAAACCATATTTGAATAACACAAAATGTATTATATGTAAAACTACGTTACAATAAAACTCTGAAGAGTAATTTAAAAAAAAAAATATTATAATAATTTAAAAATAATAAAATGTATTCAAAATAAACCTAACATGTAATTAAAATTTATAAAAATAGAGTATAAATATATTTATCAAAATTAAAATCAAAACAACATTAATACTTACTAGCAGCTAATTATTTATATATAAAAAAATATTGTCCAGTCCCAAGTTTTTTTTTAGAGAACAATCCAATTTTTCACTTTAAATTGATTAAATATTTGTAATTTCTTACTTTCGATAGACGTCTATTTATACACATTTAATATTTACTAAAAATAATTTGCTTGGGTATTGACTAAGGTGCCCTGCCTTCATCCATGATACAGCCTGAAATAGGTACAGTGTCAACGCCACCAACATCAGCGGAGCTGCCAAGCAACTCACCTTTTTTAGCTCTTCCACGAAGGCACCTCATGTTAGTAAAGATGCTCTTTTCTCAGTCTTCAGCAGTGGTCCCTGGTCCATCCTTCTCCTTTTATGTTTCCCCGAAGAATCGATTCCTGCACTAGTCCTAATTGAATGTCTCTCCTATGGCTTATTAATTAATATCAATATTGATAAATATCCTAAAACAAAATAGACTTCTTCCGTATCTAAGTCGCTATTTTGGCTTTAGTGTTTGTTTTTTTTTACGCTCTTTATTTTTTTTATTTTAACTATTCAAATTTTATTATATTTGATTTTTATCCTAATAAAAAAATTTTTTCTTCCAGTGAAACTTTTCATCTGATTTGATACTTATTTTATGACTTTTTTATTTTAATCATTGAATTTTTATCATATTTGATTGTTATTTTTATTGCATTAAAACTAAATATTGTTTCACTATTTTAAGATTTTTTTTTGGTTTTTAGTGAAGCTTTTCTTTTTATTTTGATTTATATTTTGTATTTATTTTTTTGTCATTTAATTTTCTATCGTATTTAATTTTTGTTTTTGTCTTATGGATTTTTTTAATCTTATTGTTAATAAGTTCTTTTTGGCTTTTAGTGAAAGTTTTTTTTTCTTTTTTTTTTATGATTTTTTCTTTGTTTTGATCATTTAAGTTTTACAATGTGTAATTTTTATTCTTATTTTTTTATCAAATGGATTTTAAAATATTTTATTTTCATCTCGATTTGATAAAAAAAATTGTTATTTTGTTCGACTAATCTCTCTCTATCTTATTAACAAGCTACATATGAGTAACATATGGTGAAAATTAATTATTCAAATTTTAAAAAATTATCACATAATTATTTTAATTATTAGTTATGATACATATTTTTTAAAAATACATATTTGTATCAAACAATATCTAATTAGCAACATTATGTTGTTCAACTTTGCATATTTTTCTCGTTAACTAATCTCGTGACAATGTATGAAATATATGCATTGTTTCGTCTATTCTCTAAAAAAATTTTTGTATGATTCTTTTTAATAATGTTTTTAAATTCTGTATTTTTTTATACGTAAGAATGTTGGTGGCTCATTCCATGACAATGCATGAAAATATATGCTAGTATATTTCTAAAGTTGGTTTTTTTCTTTTTCCTTTTTTATGGAGCTATTCCTTATTTATTGCTTTGGTCTCAAGAATAATTATTTATGCTTGAACCCGTGATTCGTGAATCAATTGGTTAATAAACAAATAGTGTGGATTTTTCATAAAATTATGGTCAAATTGAGAAATAAATATAAAGAGTTTTTTTTTTTTTTAACATTATGACTTGATTAACCCCGAGATCCTTCATCGAAGTTGCCGAAGTATTAGATTTGGTTCGAAGGATGCTCTCTCTACATAATAAACTCTTTATAAAGAACTCTAAATAGATTAGTTTTATGATTTTTTAGTATACCCATTTTCCTCCTTTTTTGAAAATGATCGCTCTCGCGCTGACGTCGCCTTGCGACATCTATCACGACAAACAGCACATAAATATTTTATTGTTGTCTATGATTGATTTTCCCTCCCTCATTGTGTCGTGCATGCAATATTTTTGCAAAAAAAATAAAAATAAATAATAATAATAATAATTGCAGTACGCACACATATTAAATTTCACTACATTAGACATATTTTTTTGCAACAAAAAATTACATTATACATATTTTATATGTTTTTTACTTCGCATAATATCTTTTTTACTCATCCTAATTTTTTTGGTTGATTAAATTATAAAAAAATTAAATTTATTGTTTATTTTAATTAAATAATTTTTTAAAATATTATTTTAGCAAATTGATAGTTCAAAAATACAAAGCAAAGGCTTGCAAAAAATGTCATGTATTAACTTGTAAATAAAATCACATGAACAAAAAAAAAAAACACACACACCCACAAAACTGGTTTCCTAGGCTTGAAGTTGAGCCCATATGTTTTTGGGCTTTGTCAAGGGGCACTTGGGCTTTAGTGCAGCCCGATTATTAAAGAACAAAAAATTACATGGACGATGCGTATTCCATGGAGATGACGCGTCATCCCCACATCATCTTCTTGGTCTGCTATCGGAGTCTGGGCTATTACTCTCTATTGCCGTGATGAAATTATTTAATTTAAAAATTTTTAAATTCCAAATTTAAAAATTTTTAAATATAAAAATTCGAATCACTGTATCCTGTTATGGTAATGAAGTGATCTAATTTTGATTTCTACAGATTTATTATGGTAAAAAAATTATTTGACAATTGTATTTAATTCTCAAGTAATATAAAATTTCTGGTAGTATTTTTAAGTGTTTATATTGGATTCTAGAACATAAATTTTCTCTCTTTTCTTTTTATTTTTCTTATTTTGGATTTTACGTTTTTAACTTTTTTTTTATATAATTACTTTTTAATGAAGGATTAATTATTTTAAATATTTATTTTAGTTTTAATTATGTTAGAATAAATTAACTAATCATGTGAGTAAATAATTTTAAAATCATTAAATAATGAGATCCAACTTTAATATGTGTTTTTTTTTTTCATTAGTCTTGTCATAGAGTCTAGACTAGACTTGAGTCACTCTATCATTTCTCTTTTCTTAAAACGTATTGCTAAATCCATCATATGTTTTGTTATTCTCGTCAATGTTTTATTTTAAATTACTAACAAACCTTTACATCTAATCATTATCTAGTTACTAACTTGATGTGTGATGGTGTATTGGTAATTTATAATAAAAAATTTGATAAGAATAACAAAATATATGATGAATTCAAAAATACCCTTTCTTAAAATATAGGCTGGTAAAAAAATAGTGGCTAAATGGGCCAAAGTTTATATAAATTTTAGTTCATTTAAAATTCAGTATTTAAATTTTTATTTTGGATTTAACGTGTTTTGAATTTTTTTTTAGATTTAATCAATTCTATAATTTTCACCTATTATTCATTATATATATATATATATATATATATATATATATATATATATATATATATATATATATATATATATATATATATATATTGAGATGACATTTTGCGCACAATAGGAAAAATTCAATCCATTTTTTCAAAAAAATTCAGAACTTTTGAAGGTCAAAAAGTATATTGTTTTATTTTTTGAACATTAAAAATATAAAAAATTAAAAAAAATTGAAAAATAACCTAGAATTTTTTTTTGGAAGGCTTAGATAAATTTTATTAAATTATTTCTATCAAAAGATTATTTATGTTGCCTCTATTTGTGACAAAAAAACTAACAAACGTGAAAAAATAAAGTTCAGAAGCGACCATATCCTAAATTAGAAATTTAAGAACTAATTTTCAAATAAATTAAAATTTTTTAAAAAATTGACCATTTTAACCAAAAATAGCAACTAAACAAGTCATTACTTTTGAAAAAATGAACTTAAAAAGCAGTAACAGGATACAAAAATGATATCGAATGTCTTAAGTCTAGTAGTTAAACAGTACTCTTGCTAACAGATTATATAGTTTTGACTTCATGGCAAGTAAAACTAGAGAATGGACGAACATGCATGTTTAAAATGAAAAATGAAAAAAACAAAAAACAAAAATATAAATCTTAAAAATACCACTCAAGTATATAAAGAATCTCAATATTACTACTGAATAATATTTATTATCAACTTTACCATCAAAAAATTTTAATTAAAGATTTTCATTTATTTTTAAGATTTTTTTTTTTATATATATATTTCTATTCAAATTGTAAGAACATAAAATTTCAATTAAAATCACTTAAGAAATTATTTTATCTATCTAATATGCTCTCTTTATTATTATTATTTTTTTATATATATATAGGGAATTGTTATCCATCCTTAAAAATTAAAAAACTTGACGATTCGTCTACTTATTAATTATTTAATCTAACTATCAAAATAACACCTAAAATTAAATGCCACCTAAATAAGTAAATAAATACAAGAACTCAAAAATTCAAAGAATTAAATCTAAAACTAGGCATATCTATAAAAGGCATTAATTAAAAATTTCAAGACTAATTTATCTAGGAAAAAAGCCAAATTAGAGGTATTGGGTTTTTGGGCCTAGTGGGCCTCTGGCCCATTGGGCCAGACCTGCTAGGCTGGGCTTTATGGGATGAGCCAACTGGAGCCCTTTTAATAGAAGCTTTATGTTTTCTTAAGTTATTTTAATAGAAATTTTTATTTGATAAATTAAAATAGTTTGGATGTAAAATTAATAATATTGTGGTGGTATAATCCATATTTGCCCGAAATAAAAAGCTAAGAAATGAAAATAAAACTATTTTCAGTGGTGGTTATGAATCTTGGACCATCAAAATAAAAGCTGATCAGTGATGGTTCCACCACACTGCTACAGCTAGCAAAATAAAAGCTAATAAAGTGACGGTCACCTAAATTAGTACCATCCTTTATAGTCTAGTACACCCACTCTGTGATTCCCTTAACAATGAAAGTTTATCAATTTGATTTTCAGAAATTGTCGCTTATCTCGTAAATTTGCGCATACAAGTTAATCCGAATCTGGTATGCTATTTATGCCTGTTATACGTAGCAAGAACCTTTTTTTGTACTTGAATGGAGTTGAATTGTTTCCAATTCTAGGATGGCAAGAAATGTTTATAATGAAGCAGAAAAAAACTTGATTCTTGGAATAAAACTTAATTATACAAACTCGTCATCAAGCACAATGGTTCTGTCAGGGTTTTTTCTCTGATCAAGGCGATTCATTATCAGTCGAACGTGTCCCCTCCAAGATCCTCTTCCTTGCCTCGGATGCCTGCAAATATTCACATACAGAAACAGAATTAGTCATCATGCTTAAACAACTTCATCAACTTGTCGCAGTGGAAGTAGCCGACGTCCATTAATTTGCAGGAAACAAGAAGCAAACTCCAGGACCAGCATTATTACTATACAAAAACACATATTCGAAATAATGGAAGCAGAAATAAAAACCTGTGAAGAAGGGTTAATGCAAGAACCTGTTTTTTCCAATTCATTGTTATGGCAGCATATGATGTTGCCTGCACAGTAGTCCCTGTTAATATCCCAATCCAAAGGCCTTTTCCTCTAAGATTCGCAACGAAGCACAGCAGAACAGCTACTGGAGCTGCAACTAAATCATATGCCCCCAGGTTGACAAAGGCACCTATGTGTTGCCACCCACATCCTCTAACAATCCCTGCCACCAACAAGGTACTAGCATTAAGGCTAACCAAAATAGATGGCAACAAACTTTTCCTTTACTTATCGTTTTTGAAAACCAAAACTATGGGTGCATATCATTCACACTGTCCTTATAGAAGCAATCACATGAACTAGTCCAGATTTACTTGACACAGGTGAAGCTATATATGAGTGGTAATAATAGTTGAATTTGAAATGGTGGGAAACTGACCAGAAAGTGTTATTTGTAAGCCATCCATGATGATTGAGAGACAAAGCAGGGGAACCACTTCAGCAACATAGGCCACGACTCCTTTGTCACTGCTAAAAGCATATCCAAAAATGTGACGGAAGAAGAAGAGAGTTATGCTCACTATAGCTGCCTCTGTAACAGAAATGATCAGTACTGCATAGACAACCCCTCGAGCTGTCTGTGGATTTCCAGCTCCTAACTCATTCGAAACCCGAATGCTGCAGAAATGTTGATGCATTATTGGAATGTCAGTAGATATATGATAACAAGAATATGTTTTCTTATCCATGCACATGTCTATAAGATATAAATCCAACCTTCCAGCAGCAGAAATTCCATATTGTACATAGGCGTGCAATGACACGGTTGTCAGGCTGATTACAGAAATTGAAGATCATCAGAAGCATTCCCTGTTGAACATCCTAATCTACCATCGTAATGTATTGGTAAAGAAGAATACCAAACAGAAAGAACAGACGTTTCAAGCTTCGAATCCGGCAGAAGCCCAGCAAGCAACAGAAGTAGCTCAAAGGTCCACCACTCAAGACTGAGCATGAAAACAAAGCATATAGCTAGATGAATTAATTAAGAATTCAACAAATACAAGACAGAAGCTCAGAAACACCAAGTTCTTGTTAATGAGAAGTTACCAAATCATTGCAGCAGAAGGGAAAGCAATGAGCAGAAACTCCTTTACGCTTGAGCAAAGATAAGCCCAGTGAATCCGCCGGGTTTTCTCACACGACAAAGAGAACCTCATGTAAAGTGCAAGGAAGAAAACATTTATCCAATAAGACAAACCAATGGCTAATGCTGCTCCCATGTATCCTAATTCCCACTTATAAACTAGAACCCAGCAAAGAGGGATGTGGAGACATAGAGTAGCACAGTTGGCTAAAAGCATCGGGAGAATCATGCTTTGACACTGAAAGTAGCGAAACAGAGGACCGCTAATAGCATTGGCAAATAATGCAGGAATGAGACAAATCGCATAATTACAGGCTACGATTGAGATATCGGAGTCTATTCCTATTGCTATTAGTATCCTGTCCATGAATATCCAAAGAATAGATATAGGGACACATATTGGAATGAGTGATATTATTGCGCAGTATGTATAGGTTCCAAACTTTATATATTGCTCAGCTCCATAAGCTTGGCCACAAAGAGTTTCCAAACCTCCAGCTAATCCAACCTGCTTGTCATGTAGAGATACCTTCAATTAGTTAATATATAGGCAAGTTTGAACATTATTTCAGAAACTGCAGAATAGTGGGCATAAATATAATGCAGGGGAATTAGTCCATTGAAGGGCTAAGATAACATCGCGATATATCGCAAGTGAAACAAGATGGTGATAAGCCTGAGAGAGCATACTGTGCACATACTGAACTGATTCTCTAATCTCTATAGACTACATAGGTGCATAAGATGAAAGAGAGAAGAGAAGGTTTTACTATGAGACTGAAGCCAGTGACATTGGTGAAAGAAGTAGCGATTGCAACCCCAGAGAGTGATAATGCACTAAGATGCCCTGCCATCATCATGGACACAACCTGCACTAGGTACTGCGTCACTAGCACCAACATCAGCGGAGCTGCCTGGCAACTCACCTTTTTTAGCTCTTCCACGAAGGCAACCCATGTTAGTAAAGACGCCCTTTTCGCAGTCTTGAGCAGTGGTGCCTGGTCCATCCTTTTCCCTTTAAGTTTCCCTGAAGGATCGATTCCTACACTACTACTAATTGAACGTCTCCCTATATGGCTTCTATTGCCCACTTAATAGTTTTTATTAATTTCCTCATTTATTGCTTTGCTGTGAAAAGAAAATTATTAATTCCTGAACCATTTGATTCATACAATTATGGTCCAACTGACAAAGAAATATGAATTACTTTTCTGATATTATGTCTTACCAAGCCCTAAGTGCGTAATCGAAGTTGATGAACTACTAGATTTGGAATAACTTTGAAAAAATGTTGATTTTCCTTGAAATTTTTGAGTTTTTAATATATTGCATTTATTTTTGACATGGCATAATTCAATTTCAGATCACTTTAATAATGTCGAGAGATTTTATTAATAGAATCCTAACATCTAATACTAATAAGCAGTTCGAGTAGAATTCCTCTTCTCACTTACGAGACAAAAAAACATATAATTATTGAAGGCATGACTTTATAGAGTATCTATCAGATCATCATTAAATATGACTGTCATCATTAAATATGACTGTACATGTATTTGATAATCCAAGATGCATACCCGGGCCTGAATGCTTTTTGCTAGTCTCTCTTTTCCAAGTCCTTGCCTTGTCTTTAGGAATAATCCTAAAGAAAACTTCATCTCTGGATGTTTTGTTTTTACATATTTTTTTCTCATTACAAATTAATTTAATCTAATGTAGAACTTTAAATAACGATTGCAAATACAATAATGATAACGGCTACAGATTTTTAATAGTTAAATATAATAATCGCGGTTATTATTATTGTAAATCAATTAGCAATTCCTTATAATTTTTCATAATACATGTTAATTTAATAATTTTTATTAAATAAACATATAGCATTTTTTATTATATATATACACACACCATTACAATTCAATAATAATGACACTTTTAAAAATTAAATTTAATTTAACCTAAGTTTCAAATAATGGTTCATAAAATGTTATAATCAAATTATAATTTAGATACTAGTTGCTAGAGTGGAAGAAAAATTGACTTATAATTTTTTTTTGACAATAAAAAAATAAAAATATTTTAAATTTTTTAAATTAAACAAAGTAAAAAAAAAAAAAAAAAAAATCCAAAACTAGGCCCAATAATATCACTTAAAAAATATAAGCAAAAACATAGGTCCAATTAAAAATTGTATAAAAAATAGTAGGTCCAATAGACCATTTAAATGTATGGACTCGACCCAAAATATTAAAACACCATGTATAAGTCAAATACCCATATCTCTAAACATAAATCATCTTCATGTCACCCCCTCTGTAGTCTCTTCTTCTTTATTCATCATGCCGCCTCCTCCTTCTGTTTTTTGCAGCACAGTTCATCTTCTTTATTTTTTCTTCTGTTTTTTTGCGGTGCTACATTGAAAACAACATTCTTGATCTTCCTTCCTAAAAAATCGATTCTCCCTTCCAAAATTTTTTCTTTATTTTTCAATTGAATTTGACTGAAAATTGAAGCACAAATCTAAACATCAATGGAAAATAACAATATTTTTTCTGGTAAAACATGAATATAAGGGTCATTAGCATTATATTATATGGTTGAATCGTCAATATTTTAGTTTATCGTTGAAAAATAATAATAGCTACTGTCGATTTCATTATGTAACAGCTTTTTTAAAAACTATGATCTAACATGCCATGGCATGTTACAAATTTTTATACCAAGTTACCAACTGTCAGTTTTAACTAGAAAATTAGTTAAAAAAAAATGGAATGATCAAATTAAGAAATGTTCAAAATAAAAAAAGGTGATGAATAAAAAAAAAAAAAAGGTATAAGTGCCATATTGAGAAAATTAAAAATATGTTTGGTGCAATTAATCCGTCCAACTATCTATCCCAACCATGGAATTAAAAGAAACCTATATATATATATATATATATATATATATATAAAAACAGTCCCAGCCAAATCTATTGATATTTCCTTACCGATCACATGCTTTGGAACTTGAAAGAAATTAGCTAGAGATGCTCTTAATTCACCCTCTGAGGCCTTACTTCCTTCCTCTGGAAAGCGCAAAGTTTCAGACAGTTTTTTGACATTGAATGATACTGGTAAGAAAATAAGAAAGCATGCTCATTTGTCAGAGAAGGCAGAGGCTAGATGCCGGCAGCGATGAGAATTCTATCTTGGAACTATTGTGGCCTTAGAAACGACCCAATAATTCATATTTTGCACAATTTTGTGCACTCAAATTAAGATTCCAAGTATTACTTTTTTTTTTTTTTTTTAGAGACTCGATTAAAAAGCCTTGAAGTAGACAAAATAAGTCAGAAAGTAGGTTTTTTTTAACGGCCTTGTTATTGATTGGGAGGGAGGGCCCAAATGGAAGCGTTCGATTGGTTAAATGGTAGAATGACGGTTGGTGCCTCAACGAGTTGTCTTTTTCCATTCATCAACTGGTTTTTGAAGCTCGACATAAACAGAGTGATTTTGTTTATAGATTTACTGGGTTTTATGGATGGCTCGAAACACATAACAGACATCAGTCCTGGAAGCTGTTCAGATCAATAAAAAATACTTCTCACTCGCTTTGGTTACTATTTGGTGATTGGAATGAGATTTTGTTTTTTCAGCAGAAAAGTGGTGGTAATATGCGAGCTTTTCATCAAATGCAAGCTTTTCATGATTGTGTCTCTGCATGTGAAATTTCTGACTTGGGTTTGAAGGAAACAAATTTACATGGATTAATAAATGTGCTAATCAAGGTACATTCCAAGCATGGCTGGACAAATGCTTTTGTTCAGACTTTAGAAAAATTTGAAATTCGGTTTGGATTCAATTTTTTTTAGTTCAATTAATTGAAAATCAAACCGAAATATCGAAATCGAAAAGACTAAATAACACATCCTAGATTAATTCCTGATTACATAGAAAAGCAAAAGAGTGTCTCACTACAATAAACTCCTTGCATCATAAAGGTGTTAATTGAAAAAAAAAAAAAAGGACTTCCAGCTCCAGATCATAATGTATAGAACAATCAATCTTACCATTGTAGTAAGAGTGAACTTCAACTTGATTAGTGAAGTTATTTTTTATTCAAAATCAGATAAGTTGGGTGAAAAGTGGTTGCTTTTAAAGACAAATTTAACCTCGAAATCTAATTGAACAAAAATAGTAATTTTTAAAATTTTTTTTTTTCACTAGAAAAATTAGAAAGAGGGCATAATGAGCATATTAGCAAAGGCTTATTATATTTCTAAATTTCTAAATGTATATATAATTCTAGTTTTTTTTAAAAAAATCGTTTAATTTGGTATTCAATCTCCTCATTCTCCAGAGTGTCCACTGAAAATCTCCTCTCCCTTGCCTGTGGTTGCCCACATTAATTATATATAATTTTCTTAATTTCTTCACTCACTGATACAAATTAGCATTGATATATATATATCAATTAACATAGAAATAGTAGTCAATTTGTTGCCTTTTTTCACGCCATAATGTTACATAGAACGAGTATTAGTTTGCCATTAGCTAGGACTGTTAAGGAAATGCTTACATTTGGATTTCTCCATTGATTCGTTCCAAAGTTCAAGCCAATTCATTATCAGCTAAAAAAGGTGCCTCAAAGATCCTCTCCCTGGCATTGGTTGCCTGCATTATTCACATTCAAGCAGAATTAAAAGTTATCTGTTTCATTTAAAATTCTTTATTTGAGATGAAGGATGAAAGAAACAAACTTGAGAACCAGAACCTTACCAAAACACCAAATGCTAGACAAAGCAACGCAAACAGAAACAAAAAGAAGAAAACTACAAAGAGGGGAAAGTGCAGAAGAAGAACCTGTTGTTGCCAATTTGTCAAAGCAGTTATGACAGCAAATGATGCTGCTTGAACAGTACTCCCTGTTAATAGTCCCATCCAAAGTCCTTTGCTTCTAAGATGGAGCACAAAGCAGAGAAGAACAGCTAGTGGAGTTGCAACAAGATAATATGCTCCAAGGTTGATATAGGCTCCTATGTGTTGCCACCCACATCCCCTAGCAATCCCTGTTGACGAAGTGGGACTAACATTATATAGGTGCAATATCGATAAGTATCAGCAACAGCTCACCATGTTAGATGGTTTTATTTCTTTTTCTTTTTCTTTGTTTGGTATTTGTTTTCCCAGTTAAATGGGATTAGCTCTGAGAAGTTTTAGGCCGTGCTCCATGTACATATCATCTTGTTGTTCAGGCTGAAGCAATTACATGATCTAGAACTCCAAATTACTTGTAAGAAGCTCTATATGCATGCTAGTAGTAGTACATTGCAAAATGTGGGAAACTGACCAGAAAACATTGCCTGTAAGCCATCCAAGATAAGTGAGAGACAAAGCAGGGGAGCTAGTTCGGCGACATAGTCCACAACTTCCTCTTCATTGCTAAAAGCATATCCAAAAAAGTGACGGCAAAAGAACAGAATTATGCTGACAGTAACTGCCTCCCCAATTGAAATGATCAATACTACTTGAACTGCAACTCTAGCTGCCTTAGGATTTCCAGCTCCTAACTCGTTCGAAACCCGAGTGCTGCCAAAGCGAGGTGCATTATTAGAACGTAAGTAGATGTAAATTTCTTATCCATGTACATGTACAAGCCTTAGGAAACAAGTTGGAAATCAAACCTTCCAGCAGCACCAATCCCATATTGTACATAGAAGTGCAATGTTGTGGTAGTAAGACTGATTTCAAAGATTAGAGCTAATCAGGAGCATTCCTATATTTGAAGTCTTAAAAATCATCATGAAATTTTTGGTGAAGAAGCATACCAGATAGAAAGAACTGATGTTTGAAGCTTCGGATCTGGGAGCAGACCTGCCAGTAATATAAGTAGCTCAAAGGTCCACCATTCGAGACTACGATCGTTGACACGAAAAGAACTAAATAAGTCTAATAAGAAATCAAAGCAGAAAAAGGAGCTCAAAAACATGCTGAGAAAAATTACCAAACCATTACAGCAGAAGGGAGAGCGAAGCGAAAGAACTTATTAATGCTTGAGAAAATTTCGTTCCAGTAGAGGCTTCGGGTTTCCTCACAAGATGAAGAGAACAGCATGTAAAGTGCAAGCAGGATCGCATTTAACCAATAAGACGCACTGATGGCTAATGCTGCTCCTGTGTTTCCTAGTTCCCATTTATATATCAGAACCCAACAGAGAGGAATATGGAAGCATAGAGCAGCACAGTTGCTTATTAGTATGGGGTGAATCAAGCTCTGAGACTGGAAGTAGCGAAGTAGCGGTTGAAGAATAGCATAGGCAAATAATGCAGGAATGAGCCGAATCGCGTATTGGCAGGCTACAATTGAGATATCAGAATCTATGCCTATTGCTATTAATAACCTGTCCATGAATACCCAAAGGACAGATACAGGGATACTTGTTACAGTAAGAGAAATTATTGCACAGTATGTATAGCTTCCGAACTTCTTATATTGCTTTGCTCCATAAGCTTGCCCACATAGAGTTTCTAATCCTCCAGACATTCCAACCTGATTGGTTTTCAATTAAAGAGATTACATAGTGAAATTTTGAAACTGAAATAAGATCACTTCAGATTTTGGAGCATTTTGTAGAGAACTGAACTGATCTCTCAGTTAGCCCAGAAAAAATGGACTGGAATTTGCTTCAGGAACCCAAAGCTAGTCAATATATAGTTCCAGGTCCTAAGAGCAAAAGTTGAGTTTAAACATCACTTGTAATCAAAATTTAACCAAGTCAAGCTAGAATCGCAAGACAGAAATTAGCTTGTTTGGCTTCCAATATCGTTTTACCACTTTTGTTAAGTTCCAACAAGATTCACTATATATTCTGGAAATCAGATAAGGAAAAGTTGCAACATGAAGACAAGACTTTAATTTACCAGGAAACTGAAGCCAGTGACATTGGTGAAAGAGGTAGCAATGGAGACTCCAGAGAGTGACAATTCACTCAAGTGCCCTGCCATCGTCAATGACACAACCTGAAGTAGGTAGAGCGTCACTGCTGCCACCATCATTGGAGCTGCCATGTGGCTCATTCGTTTTAGCTCTTCCACAAAGGCATCCCATGTTAGTACCCATTTCTTCTCCTCAGCATTCCTCTTGGGCAACAATGGCTGATCCATGCCTTCCTCTTTATGCTTCCCTTTGGTGAAACTTGGAAGCTTACGAGGCTTAAGTGTTTATTGTTGTCTCTGAATTGAAACGGTGGTTTCAAATGGATTCTTTGGGACGTTAAAGAGAAGCTGCAAAGAGATGAAAGCAGGGAAACAGAGATGCAAGAAATATGGGACTAGCATTTTCCATTGACCTAATTAAGACTACTGTCTACTGGTCTATCTTGCCGGTGTATCTAGAGTTATCAAGTGAAAGCATCTCTACTTATTCACATTGCTTTAAAAAAAAGAAAGAAAGAAAGAAAGAGAAAAGAAAAACTCTATTCGTTAAGAAATATTGTGAATAGCTTGTTAATAAACAAGCTCGTGTATCATGTGGATTGAAGCCATGCTTGATAATTTATTACTACAAATTAGACACGTATCCTATGAAAGTTAGCTCAATATATGAAAGAACCTAACAGTTGGCCTTTTTTTGGTGGCTAAAGAAGATAACGAAAGAACTATGAGCAGCCTTTTGGCTCCTTCATTTTTTTTCTTTTTGAGTTTTAACCAGATCTCATCATTCTACCATAAAAATATAACTAATTTTATTTTGTTATGAAATAATGAATGTCCATCATCATATTCATCCACTTTTCATATTCTCACTACTCATAATTCTTAATATGATTCAATTCATCATTCAATATGAGAAATTGAAAGGATGATGCAATTGATTATTCATAATCTCTTCTATTTCTCTCTTCAATTTTGAAGCCTATAAATAGGCATGATTATTTATTAGTTGGTGTATAAGTTTCCTAGAGAGAATAAGAGAAACTTTAAAGTTCTTATCACTTATATTCGCATTATAGTGATTTCATTTTCTTGTCATCCTTTTCTTCAATTCTCCTATTATTTTTATTTATTTCATAACACGTTATCGGCACGAAGCTTTAACTAATCGAGACAATAGACCATGAGGAATGTATCTATCAAAACACTTAATCAATTATTTCAAACATTGGATTTCTTCTACACAAGTGCTCTACCAAAAGATCTAAATTATTTAGATCATTAAGAGGTATGTATCTAATTTATCATATAATTTAAATATAATGATATATAGAATGTACATTTAAAAAACTTAAATAATTTAATATATAGAATCTAATGATCTAATATATGTTGTTTGAAAAGCTTTAATTTTATTATTATGTTTGTTTTTATTTTCTATTATTATTATTATTATATATTACATTATAGAATTTTTATCATATCAAACCTCATAAACTTAATTTTGTGGATCTTGATATTTCCCATAAGAATTATTGATTATGAGGGCTTAATTATGAAAAAATATTTTCTACTTTTTATGTCTTGAATATGCTCCTGCAGTAGCAATATCGAGAAGATGAATTTAAGAAATATTCTAAATCGATTTCATATTTGCTCATAGCTAAATAAAATGATAAGCTATTGATGAAAGGAATAGATCTCATCCAACTGGATTTACTCCATTCCTTAAAGTGAATGTGACAACTTATAATAATTTTGAGTATGGACAAAGATGTGGTCATAGCCATGAACGTAATTGAAATAATTATCATTATAATTGTAATGACCATAATATTACATCTCACCACCGAAGTGGATAACTATGAAAAAAAAAGAAATAAAAATAGATAAAGTCGGTATTCTGAAAAATAAATATTATAGATGTAGAATGAATGAATATTGATCGCGTACTCGTCGTATACCAAAGCACCTCATCGAGGCTTGTCAAGCCTTATTAAAAAATAAAGAGTAAAATATGAATGCCACTTTTATATATCAAAGTAATAGTAATTGAAATGAATTACTTGTTAGTTTTTCTATTTATAAATAAAATGTTTTATATTTATTATAATTTATGTCGTATATTGATGGTTATAAAGTTATTTTACTATTTATTTATTTGTTTATGTTTATGAGGCATATATTGATTTATTTATTTTGTATTGATTTATTTTATTATTTATTTTATGCTAATATTATATATGATAATATCAATGTAATAGAAAGCTCCAGAATAGCGATTATATTATTACTCAAAGAGATAAATTTTAAGGCTCTAGAAGAGCGATTATATCATGACTTGAAGAGATAAATTTTTAAAGCTCTAGAAGAGTGAATAAATTATTATTTGAAGAGAAAATGTTTAAAGGCTCTAGAAGAGTTGATATATTATTACTTGAAGTGACTAATTTATAGGCTCCAAAAGAGCAAATATGTTATTATCCGAAAGTATAAATTTATTATGAATGATGTACTATTCTTTTTAAAGTCTCATAGAAATTTGTTGAGTTTCAAAGATATTCATCCGAATTGATATCATATCAAGATAGCAAATGTGAATACTTATATATTATAATCATTATATTGGGTAGAAAATATCTATTAAAAATTTTGTATATTTTCTCTTTTAGTCTTTATTACAAACATTGAAATGATTGAAACAAATATTGTAGTAAATCGAAGTTTACTAATTCAAATACTTTTACTATGTGACATGACCAGTTGTATTATCTTGGATCTTTCATGATGTAAAAAAATTATTAAAAAATTTATTTGAATATCTATTGAAGAGCCAAAAAATTCTTCAATTTAATGAATTTTCATGTTCTACATGTTGCTAAGGTAAATTGATGATTAAGCCATCATTAAGTAAAATTGAGATTGAATCTTCAGTATTTTAGAATGTATTCAAGGTGATATATATGGATCAATTCATCTACCATGTGAACTATTTAAATATTTTACGATTTTGATAAATGTATCCACAAGATGGTCACATATATACTTATTATCTACTCGAAACCCGACGTTTTCGAGATTGCTAGCAAATAATTTAATTTCGAGCTTACTTTTTAAATTATGCCATTAAAACAAGTCACATTGATAATGCTAGTGAATTTATTTCTCAAGCATTAAATTATTATTGATTGCCTATTAAAATAAAGATTGAACATCTTGTTGCTCATGTTCATACTTAAAAAGGTTTAGCAAAATCATTTATCAAAAGGCTCCAATTGATAGCTAAACCATTATTTAAGAATAAAACTTCCTGTTTATGTTTGGGGACATGCAATCTTACATGCAACAACACTTATTCACATATGACTCATAAGTTATCGAAATTCTCTCATCTTCGATTGATTTATGGTCATGAGTCAAATATTTTTTATTTAAGAATTTTTTTGACATTGCGAGTGTATATCCTTAGTACTCCTTCATAAGAAAATAAAATGGGCACTTAAAGGAGATTGAGAATATATATTGGATTTGAATCCTTTTTGATAATTAAATATCTTGAATCATGAATAAATGATATTTTTACAGCTTGATTTATCGACTTGTCATTTTGATGAAATAGTTTTTTCAATATTAGGGGGAGAGAATAAACAAAATAAGCGATTAAAAATGTTGAAAAAAAAAAGATTACATAGAGTACTCTATCTTTATATCAATTTGATACAAAACAATATGAACTAGAAGTTCACAAGATAATTCATTTACAAGGTATTATAAACCAACTCGCTAGATATATTCTCATATCCTAAAAAAGTAAATAAAATACATGTCCTCGTTGAGAATGCTCATATTAGAATTGATTTCCTAAAAGAATAGTCTATTAATATTATAGCTAACGAATTTAAAGCATGCCTAAAGCATGAAAGATCGATCGATTCTAAAGATAAAAATCCCTAAAAGAAAAGGATAAGATGAAAATATTCACAAAACGGTTCAAGATATTTCGATAATTGGCTTCCGAAGAAGTCCAAATGCTTGAGAAAAATCAAAAGATTTTGATAAATTATGTCAATACAGGGAGAAAATAGGACCGAAGAGAAATATTTATTGATAAGATTTTTGTATGTAAAGTTACAATTGATATTTTGAATGAAAATAAAGATCCCGAGCCTAAATTATTAAAGAATGTTGATAAAAAGATGATTAGCCTAAATGAAAAGAGCAATCCGGACAAAATTATGTTTCTCCTACAAAAGAGTAGTTTTTGAACCCATAGCTAAAACACTTGAAGATGTTAAATTAGTGGGATACAAATAAGTATTTATGCGAACACGAAATAAAAAAATGAATTGTAAGATACAAAGCAAAACTTTTAACACAAGAGTTTTTGCAAAGAATCGACATTGACTATAAGGAGACATATTCTCCTATAATGGATGCAATTATATTTTATTATCTCATTAGCTCGAGAAAATATATAAAAAAATTCATATGCATGTATTTAATGAATGTGATTATAATTTATTATTCATTTTAGATGAATCAATATGAAAGTCCTAGAAGGACTTAACATGCGAAGCATATAATATATACTCTCGAGATAAGAATTCAATTAAATTATAGAGATCTCTATTAGGATTATTTTCGTATTTTTTTATTATTTTGGTTTTTAGAAATTCAATTTATACTTTTTATATTTTATTTTTATATCTACTATTTATTACTAACCCATTTGCATGTGATATAATCACTTCAATGATTATTTGTTGAAAGAAAGTTATAATAAATAACCCTATTTGTTCATATATTTTTATTTGAAAATGAGTTTGTTGTATATGTTAATAATTTAAATATTATTGAAACTCCCGAAGAGATTTCAAGTGTCATAAGTTACCTAAAAAGAGAATTTGATATGAATATCTTGAGAAAACAAAATGTTATCTCGACTTGCAGTTCGAGCACTTAGAGAATAAGATTTTTATTCATCAATCAATTTGTATAGAAAAAGTTCTACAATGATTCTATATAAAAGTCATTTATTGACTAGCCCAATGGTAGTTCATTAACTTGATATCCAAAAATATCTTTTTTGACATCGAGAAGATAACAAAGAACTACTTGGTCCCGAAGTACCATTTTTAGTGCCATCGGTACATTGATATATCTTGCTAATAATACTCGACATGATATAGTCTTTTCTATAAATTTATTAGCAAGTCATAATTTTATTTCAA